GCCTGTTCAAACGAAATGAAAGATACTCCAACATGTATCCTTTATGTTTTATATACTCAAAAGTAAAAAAGCATATATATATATAAGTTTTCTACTTATAAGTATATAAAGCATAAAGGATAGAGCCAGACAGACTTAATTAAAAATACTACGAGTAATTGTATACATATATTACTATAGAATTATTTGCTTAGTTCTCTTCCATATCAGTCATGGTACTTTCTAATCAGCGTTTATCTGGGTGCGCGTGCGTATGTTAACGTCTGTACTCATTATCGGAGTAATTATAAAGGCCTAACATCAAGTTCGGGTCATAAATGCTTAATGCCCCAAAGAAGAGCATGACCAAGATTGCGTAAGTACGTAGTTAACTCAGTTTGAGTTAATGTGATATACAATCGTACGCAAGCAAGCCAGGTAATGAAATCGGTATTACGCACGGGAGTTAACACACACACGAACACAGAAACACTCACGTAAAAAATTTCATGCATAATACGAAAGAGAACAAGCTAAATTATTATATAACTATGTAATGTCAAATTCTGTTCAACTATTAAAACAGATAAGCATTAATTTTGCATACAAATTATGTGAAAAAACATATCTCTCAAAGAGTTGTATAAGTCTCTTTCTATTGAATATAAAATTTCCTTTTCACCGAGAGTTAAGAAGAAAAACCCAAGTAAAACAACTTTGGGGAAGAATACTTATGGATCGCTTGTAGTTTCGACGAGATCTGAGATAGAAACTACAATCCAACTTAAATGAAGAAGCACAAAATATAATAAGCTTGGTGAATATGAAAAAAACTAATTAAAATGTTCACTATAAAAATAAAGATTTTGGAATAGCTTTGCTCAGTGAGAGAGAAAAAGGTGCTTTGGATAACAAAACTTTTCTTTTTGTTTAATCTCAAGTTTCTTTTAGCATCTTTCGATTTCATCAACGTATCTATCTTGTAGGTAATAATGATGTAATATAAGCGTATATCATCGGAAACTTTGGCACACTCCTAAGACAGTTCAAAAGTCTCGTGGAATTAGATAAAATCTAATAAAATGACCCTTTACTAGATAAGAAGCTCGCTTTCGCTTTCATACGCCATGCCATAAATTCACTCAAAGACTAATGGTATAA